TCTGGGAACACTTCAATTTCTTTCTCGATCCTGAATATAAACACAAGAGTCAAATTCTTCATGTATTTTAGAAAGAAACATACATTTTCGAGAATTCAAAAGGTGTATGAAGGCAAGGAACCACCTTATGAAGAATCCTCCATTACGTTCCGGAAAGGACTTATTACCATCTAAATGTGTATTGAATAAAGTTAATATAAAGTACAATCAGTCAACAGAAGTGAATGATAAAGAAAATAATGCATTCCATTGGTGCAGAAGTGAATGTCAATCGAAATTTCAACCTCTTCGGGAATGATAAAGTTGCTTAGAATCAGTGGTAAAAGGTAGCAAAAGGCTGCCGACACTTGGATTACTATTAATCACACCGTGACAAAACAATGATCATCATAGAAAAACAAAATTAATAAAGAAATCACTATGCAGAAGGGAAAGAAGTTAATCCGTTACTGATCTTCATAATAGTCTGTAATTTAAGCAGACCCAAATTCTGAAAACCATTTCTCATGCCGTTCAATATCAGCAGCAGAAACACTTCGCTGAACTTTCTTCAATGCTTCTTCGAAGTCGCACATGGCAACAGGGTCCTTTGAAATGTCATCCTTTGCCATATTTCTAATCTCATCGCGAGTTTTTCCAGCTATTTTACGTCTCATTCCATTCAAGGAAGCATCTCTGCAGACATTTGTGAGATCGTCCCCACTATATCCTTCTGTCCGGCGAGCAACATCGTCGATATTCACATCAGGAGCCACCTACGTATGAATAATCATGATTCCTTGGCATCAAATAAGTTCATTCAGGCTAAGAAAATAGGTTATTGCATGGTAAGTTCAAATGAACAAAAATTTGAACTTATGAAGTAAATAATATATAATTTTCTTGGACTAAGAATAAGAATTTCTTGCTGAACCATGATAAATAATCCTATAATCCTATTGGTTCAAGAATTAAGCATCTCAAATTTCACAAAGAGATGAGAATTAACATGTATCATTATGCAAGTACATTGAGTCCAACAGCATTCTGATAGTTAATTGAATAGGCACTTGATTTACCTCAACAGTTTTTAGATTTATTCTGATAAGCTCCTTCCTACTCTCAAAATTAGGAAGAGGAATATAAATACGCTTTTCAAGCCTCCTCCTGAAATAGTAGCACCAATTGAAAGAAGAAATCAACTCGTAACCCCAGTACGTCTTCCACGTAAACAAATCAAATTTACTTGAATGAAGTGTAAGAAGACATGTTAACGGAACCAACCTAAGTGCCTCATCAATATCCCACGGGAAGTTTGTAGCAGCCAAGACCATCACAATTTTACGGCCACCATCTTCGCCAGAGGAACTATTGTTTACACCATCGACCTGAACTAGAAGTTCAGACTTCACTCTTCTGGATGATTCATGCTCACCAGACGCCCTGAAGAAAACACCTTGATGCACTTATTTTTCTTAACAAAAGTTAGGAAGGAGAGGGACAGACGTAATACTTAAGAAAAAACTTTCCATAGAAAAGAAACCATGAATCCTCTCTAATTATGTGAAGAGTCTTACCCACGAGCATTACATAAAGAGTCAATTTCATCGATAAAGATAGTACTTGGTGCATAAGCTCTTGCAAGTTCAAAAAGGCATCGAACCATGCGCTCACTCTCTCCACGCCATTTTGAAGCCAAGGTGGCAGAAGAAACGTTGAAAAAAGTTGTGCCACACTCAGTGGCCACAGCTTTAGCAAGTAATGTCTTCCCAGTCCCAGGTGGGCCAAACATTAAGACTCCTTTCCATGGTCTCCTTATTCCCTGGATGGAAAAAGCAACAAGATTAATATGCATGACGCAATGGACACAGGTATCAAGCATACATCACACACGGACACAGGCAACAAGCCCACTATGGCCAACATGGTACAAAGGATACATCAACCTTACCACATGTACTCTGCAGAATAAAATTTAAAGCTAGAAGAAGTTTCAGGTTCAAAATCTGTAAAATTTCCATTTCCCTATTAATCATCTTTTCTTTTTCTTTCTTCTTTTCCGAGTACATCTATCAATCATCAGGAAGTAACTTAATAATCCCTTCTAAAGGACGGTTGAATGGATCCCTAAATATGATTGCTGATTTCCATCGCTGAAGACTATAACACACATCAACAACAGGGACAGATAAACAAAGCATATTGATCAACACGTCATGAATATCAGCAAAAAGAGATGATTGGTTTGGTATCATTATTTGCAAACCTATCAAGTGGCTTCATAGGTATCTAGTACACTAATTCAAGAATACCTGAAAATATTCTGGCATCCACAGGGGAAGAACGACAGCTTCCTCCAGAAGCCTTTTTGCTTCACTCAGGCCCGCAACATCATCCCATCTCACTCCTGGACTGGTCTCCAACACATCTCTTTCAAGCATAGCAGCTAGATCAGGATCAGGTCCCTCGTACTGCCCCTTCTTAGACTTTCCCTCATCGTCACCATTCTAACAATACCATTCATTAGTTTAATGATATAAACATGATGTACTGCACAAACTTGAGATTGTATGCAAAATAAAACAATAATTCATGAAATCGAACATTTTTTTTTTATGAGCTTGTGCACCTATGCTTAAAACAGTTTTCAATTTTTGTTAACAAAAATAGATTTACAAACTATCATCCAATGGCTTGCATAGATAAACATTACTCGGAAGTTATTAATCACAACCCAAGATTTTGAGTGGGGGAAAAGAAAAGCAACGTCTTTAACATCTTCAAAAAAAAATCATAATAATAATAATAAAAGTCATCGATGAAATAAGAAATGGTTATCTGAACATGTTTCCTCTGATATTTAATTCTGAAAACCAAAAAATTGTTTAGGAAACAACTCCTAAACTGACCCTGAATCTCCAAAATTTGAGAAAACAAATCAAGTAAAAAGGCTTAACTCTATAACTTTTGTGTACACGACAAGAAGGTGAAACATTGACAAGATATGGAATTTCTCAAGCATATGAAACAAGCAAATGCCCCTAACTAAAAACCCATATAGATTGGAACACGCCAGCAATGAACTCAAAAGAAGGCGGACCAGCAATGAACTCAAAAGAAGGCGGATCATAAGTCTCATGCAACAAAAGAAGATTTGCGCACATGCATATGATCCAAGTTCATCATAGAGGAAAAAAGAACTGAGATTAAATTTGAGCTCACAGAACTTACTGCAGAATCTGACTTGCTGGATTTACCGGTAGTACTAGCACCCTTCTTTCCAGTAGTTGATGCACGGACACCAGAGTTCACACGACTTGAACCACCAGCCTTCGCACCACGAGTGGTAGTATTTGGTCTGGTGGAACCACGAGCCCAAGCCCCATCCTGTGGTGATTTCCTCATACCAACTTGACCAGCCCTTGCAGGTCTTCTACTTGAAGAGTCCCTACTTGGAGGCCTCCATACATCAGGATCATCCATCGGAGGAGCTGAAGAAGTTGGGTACTCATCTAATGGTTGAAAAACAAATGATGATTTGGCATGAATTGGAGGAGAAGCTGCACGCCGACCCATGGGTGTTTCCTTAAAAGCCTTTCTCTCTGCATCTAACTGCTTTACAACTTCTATCTCCTCAGAAAGGGCTTTTTTCACATTCATCCATTTTGCACGCATTAAAGGGTCATCGACTGAACTAAGGTGCCTAAAATCGATAAATCAGTGAACTTGAGTGAGAACCATACTGAAGAAGAGCATAGTTAAAAACATCAAAGATTTCTGTAGAAGGAATTCTGCAGAGCTTGATCTCCCCTGCGCTGAAGTAATATCAATCATCACTTCTTTTTTCTCTCTTTTGTTCATAGAAAATCCACGGAAAATAGAAACTAAACCAGTGGCTGTACCTGGTACTGTATGATCATTAACCAACAACCCAAAAATGTAAACTCCTTTCACAATTTATGGCCTTACCAAGACATTTGGTTCTAAACTTAACTATCCTCATAATGAACTACAAAAACCAGGATGATAAGCCCTGTCTTCCGCTACACCCTTAATTTAACAACAAATATAAATTAATTTAGAACAACCCAACGCAGGAAATCGACAACCATTCTCCAATTTAGGGTTTTCGATTACCCAAAATAAGAAGAAACGATACCATATCTCCTTTTTAAAAATTATAAATATATAAATACGCTCGTCATTCTAACGCTCAAAACAATACTCCATGGTAATGACCGCCTCCACATTATTCCCTACATTCGCATAATAATAAAACACTGGATTTTTCTCTAATTTTACAGCAACATTCTTTCAAATTACTCGCAGCAAACCGATAACAGTCAAATCGCATCAATCTAACTTTGCAAGATGAGAGAAAAAAACAGATACAGTAAGAATCAGACTAGATGCATCGAATTCAAAGCAACAAAAAGATTGAAAACAAGCTCAAACGAAAATCAGTTTCGTTACTACAGATGAAATAGGAAAATGTAGATGGTGGAAGAGAGATTACTTGTTGATCTGAGCTATAACACCATCAAAGAAGATTATCGAAGTGTCATACAGCCCCTCAAGAGCGTATTCCCTCGCTAATTTCAGATGGTCTTGAAAGCCCACCAATGTATTGCTCCCCATTCTCTCTCAATCCGTGCTTTCTATCTCTGTAACTGGCAACCTCCAAAAGAGAAAAATCCTTCAACTCAAGTAAACGTAGAAGAAAGAAAGCTTCAGGGACTGAGAAAGTCCAAGAACCGAACTATGACAGAGACGTAAGAACTTCCACGGTCTTCAAGGAATGAGAAATCAGAGAAGAAGATAAAATTACTAAAATAACCTTGGGCTTCTCAAGGAAGAATGGTCCATTATTTTTCGCTTTACCTTTAGGAAAGGTTTGTTAGAACCGTTACGAACGTAGGGCCCGCCCACTAAATTTTGAACTTAAATATTGGGCCAAAATGGGCCCAGTAAATTTTAAAGCTAAAAAAGTTGGGCCGAAATGGGCCCAATAAAAATTAAAATTGAAAAAGGGAGGGAGCGAAGACAACTTTATATAAACAAAAGTCATGAGAATGTGATGGGGGGGTTTTGTGTCAACATTTCAATAAATATTATTACACAATTCTTTTTTTTTTTTTAAATATTAATTCAAATGCAGAAAGTAATCAACTTTGGTGTCTTCATCTCATCACTGTATCATTCCAGCACTGCACAACTCTTCCAAACCTTTCCTCAACCTCTCAGCAGCAGCGCGGCAATCGTCCTCCATCAAACCTCCGAACGAGATCCTGACATTCCCCGGCGACCCACAAGCAGAACCAGGGATCACGACAATCCCATGTCGTCGAGCGAGCCAAAGAACGACTTGATGATCGTCGATGAACTTGTCGGGAAGCTTAGCCCAGAGGTATATGGCACCTTCCCCTCCTTTTACAGCGCCTTGTCCTAGAGGGGTGAGTGCTTGTAGAATGATATCTCTGCACTTGACAAGCTCTTTTACTTGCTCTGTTACCCACTCTGGGCCTAACTTCAGGGAGTTTAGAGCAAGATGCTGTGATAATATTGAAGCACAGATGGGAATGTTGTCCTGAACTTTTAGAAGTTGGGCTCCAAACCCTTCAACTTCTGTAGGGTATGCTATCTGCTTGCATATTTATTCATTAGTTACGACTACACGACGTAAATTAACAAGAAACAGATACGAGAATGAGAACGAGAGCGAGAATGATCGATGAGCTAAGAGCACGTCACTTACGTATCCAATTCTCCATCCCATCATTCCATAGGCTTTCGAAAAGGAGAATATATTGACGACATGATTCCCTTCGACACAAGAGTGTTTTAAGCCATCGAACATGAAGTACCTGCAACAACAAATTTCAAGAACTCAAAAAACTATCATTCTACTTTTTCAGGCAATCACAAATCTGCTCCTCAAATGGCGACGAACGGGCTGATAGTACCCTCCATTCGAGAAACATACGATATCCACCTCAACAAGTTCCATCACATACATAATACTCAGTCTATCTTGATTACCATCATGCTTGTTTTGTTGTTTTCCGTCAGTCCTCCCATCCAAAATATAATACTCAATCACTACTAATAGATATTGTCCGTTTTGGTCCACTACATATCGTCATCAACCTCACAGTTTTAAAACGCGTCTATTAGGGAAAGGTTTCCACACCCATATAAGGAATGTTTTGTTCCCCTCTCCAACCGATGTGGAATCTCACAATCTACCCCCTCTTGGGGGACAGCGTCCTTGCTGGCACACCTCTCAATGTCTAGCTCTGATACCATTTGTAACAGCTTAAGCCCACCGCTAACAGATATTGTCCGCTTTGGCCCATTACGTATAGCCGTCGACCTCACAGTTTTAAAACACGTCTGTTAGAGAGAGATTTTCACACCCTTATAAAGAATGATTTGTTCCCCTCTCCAACCATTATAGGATCTCAGAGTTCACATACACGCACGCAAAAATGTTTGTATCATGAAACTAAAAGGAACTACAAAACCTTAATGAACTTACTCATAGGTATTATCCACAACAAGCCAAGATCCAGCCTTTTGGCAAAGCTCTGCTAATCTCTACAAGTGCCCAAAAAAGAAGCAAAAAGTTGATTCAGGTAACAATAAAAGAGGAAACTCAAAAGCATCTGAAAACATATTGATAGCAGGAGTATCAGGGAGGCAAGAGAGTCAAAACCTTGAGAAGAGGCTCCGGAATATAGGTGCCAGATGGGTTCCCGGGATTAACGACAGTGACGAGTTTAGGGGTCGGTTTGGCTTCAGACAATGTTTTTTCTAACCAGTCTGAAAACCGAATTACGATAACAATCTATGAGTCGAACAGCAGACAAATCATTGCTTTTAAAAGCAAGGAAAAAGCAACGTCCGATTCACAGGCAGAAATACAACTAGTACATGAACACATTTCACCAAAATGCAACAATCAATTCAAACCATGGAAGGAAGTAACTTCTGGCGTAGTATCCTCCTATATGGTTAATGACGACCAACTTAAACGCATAGAGGATCATCACGAACAGTACGGAGTGGATAATAAACATATTTACTCGGTGAAAGCGCATAAGAGAGTTATGTTCTTAGAGAGTTCTTGGTCAACCCTCACCACAAAAGCAAGGGTCACATACAAAGGGCTAAAGACATAGTGCTTAGAGTTTGAATAAAGCAACATGGCTATGTATATGTAATCAACCAGTAATACTAACCTGCATCTGGATAAAGTGTTTTCGGGTCACCAGGACCGACCAATATATTCGTGACGCCAGTCATTTGGAAAGACATGTAGGCATTGAAGTAATATGGAGCAAACATAACCACAGAGTCCCCAGCATCACACAATGTAAGAACAAGATTCACGAATGCCTGCAGTAAAATCGGAGTTACGTTTTACTAAAGGGATAGAATGGATAAAAGTACTTAACATAAGGAAGTGTTCAAAAAAGAAAGGTAATAATATATGCAAGCAGAGCAGTGATTCATTATTATAAACAATTTTGATATTCACTATCATCACCTGATTTGCACCGGCTGTAACCATCACAGAGGACTTGTACAGTTTATTTTCCTGATGCAACTGCAAAATAAACAGAAGGATTTAGTAATAACATGACTCTCAAGTTCCATATTACAAACAAGAATCCAATTTCAGAGAAAGAACGCTCCTGCCATGTAAAAGAATGTAACAGCCGAAGCTCACCGCTTGCAGATAGTGTCCTTTTTGGGCTTTCCCTCGAGGTTTTTAAAACGCGTCAGCTAGGGAAAGGTTTTCACACACTAATAAAGAATACTTTGTTCCTCTCTCCAACCAATGTAAGATCTCACAATCCACCCCCTTTCGAAGCCCAACGTCCTTGTTGGCACTCGTTCCCCTCTCCACTCGATGTGGGACCTCCCAATCCACCCTCATTTGGGGCCCAACGTCCTCGCTGGCACATTGCCCGATATCCGGCTTTGATACCATTTGTAACAGCCCAAGTCCACCGCTAACATATATGGTCCTCTTTGGGCTTTCCCTTTCGGGCTTCCCCTTAAAGTTTTCAAAACACGTCTACTAGGGAGAGGTTTCCACACACTTATAAAGAATGTTTTGTTTCCCTCTCCAACCGATGTGGGATCTCACAATCCACCCCCCTTCGGGGCCCAACGAAGGCACTCGTTCCCCTCTCCAATCGATGTGGGACCCCCAATCTACCCCTTCGGGACCCAGCGTCCTCGTTAGCACACCGCCTAGTGTCCACCCCCCTTCAAAGTTCAACCTCCTTGCTAGCACATTGCCCAGTGTCTGGCTCTGATACCATTTGTAACAACCCAAGCCCACCGCTAGTAGATATTCCTCTTTAAGGTTTCTCTTCCAGGCTTCCCCTCAAGGTTTTTAAAATGTGTCTACTAGGGACACACTTATAAAGAATGTTTCGTTCCCCACTCCAACCGAAGAAAGATATTGATTCAAAAACCAATCAATATAATGAGTTGAGAAGAGCAAAAGCCAGTAAGGTGAAAACAAATATGAACTACTAATTGTTGAAGCAAACCAATCTGGAAAATAGATAAAAGAAACATGACTTCATGTAGCAAACTCACAGATACGAAGTAGGATACAGTCACATAGACAGCTATAAAAGGCTAGAATTTTCTAAGACTATAAGGCTGTACCAGCAGCGGCCGTAACATTATAACCTAGAACGTATTACGAACGAGAGATGTGAAATTAACAATTCTGTATGTTATGCATTTCAGTTCATTGGTATAATCTTATTCGGGTGCCATAAAAAATTTGCATCAACTTCCAATACCTTGGAAGGATTCAAAGACGGACTTTCCCTGATAGGAACCACGAACCTCCACAATGGTATGATATTGTCCACTTTGAGCATAAGCTCTCATGGCTTTACTTTTGGTATCCCCAAAAGGCCTCATACCAAGGGAGATGTTTTCCTTACTTATAAACCCATGATCATTCCTTAAATTAGCCAACGTGAACTCCCTCCCAACAATCCTCCCCTCAAACAAAGTACAACCTAGAGCCTCTCCTGAGGCCTATGGAGCCCTCGAATAGCCTCCCCTTAATCAAGACTCGACTCCTTCTTTGGAGCCTTCGAACAAAGTACACCCTTTGTTCAACATCTGAGTCACTTTTTTACTACACCTTCGAGACTCACAACTTCTTTGTTCGACATTTGAAGATTCTATTGACAGACTCTCATGCCATATTAGGAACCACGAACCTCCACAATGGTAAGATATTGTCCACTTTGATCATAAGCTCTCATGGCTTTACTTTTGGTTTCTCCAAAAGGTCTCATATCAATGTGGAATTCCCTCCCAACAATCCTTAATCTTCCCCCAGTAGAAGGAGTAAGACAAATGAAGATAAAAATCCCGAGTCACATGCGATGGTAGCCTAGGAAAAGACAAGCAAGCCACCCTCACCTACCCCCATATCTATAGCAATGGTCAAAGCTCGTAAGCAAGGTAACTGTATTTAAGGCCTTACCTTTCTTGTCAGCGCCTCTCTCAGCTCAGGGATACCTTCATCAGCCCCATAGCGACTGACTGAAGGCTCCCAAACAAGTTCTGCAGCCTTCGTCAATGCCTGTTTTGGAGGTTGCCAATAGACCACGCCCTACAGCAGCCAGAACTTGACCGTCAACGCCAAAAGACCATATAAAAATACAAGACCATCAAGCCATGGCAGCATTGAAAACCCAATATAGACAATTTTCCTCGCTTCCCCATCATCAAAAACAAATCAAAAAACGAGTAATTGAAATGAAACTCCAACCTGTGCAAGGGACAAAACATTTGTACTTCCTCGGACAAGTTCTTGAATCTGCAAAAAAGTTCAACATCCATTGATTATTCAATAGTAATCTATCACCCTGACCAAGAAATAACCAGGCACGCACATTTAGACGAAGCAACGCAACGCAACGCACACCAAATAGGGAGAGCGTCTGATTATACCTTAACCATGATGGGCATCTCGGTCTCCAATGCCCTTCTCGCAAGCCTTCCATAGGAACCCATTTCCCTATTCTCCTCCCACGCCAATCCCAACAGCTTCAATCCCCACCAAAGACTCCTTGACTTTGAACTTACACTACTTTACCCACCGATCTCGAAAACCCACCCTGAAACCTTCCTTCAAAACTCGAAGAAATAAAAATATAGATGATTCGTAGCCCTTTTCCCGCAAGACCCACCAACCCAAAAGGCCCCAAACTCAATTTTGGGGGCGAGAAAGAGTGTTTTTATATGAAGGTATCGGGATATCGGGATAGGCACGCCTTGAAGGACGCCAATATGGTAATAATAACATATGATTCTCTTCAAAGATAAGGCAAAATAAAGCCAAAAGACTTTTTGATCTCCTTCCTTTTTATTCTACTTTGGAGAGTGGGATAATACACGCTAGTGTGAACTTTTTGTGCGTTACTTTGACTTCTCTGGCTTGCTCGCTACCTCACAGGCTTTGTCCGTTTGCACGCCAGAATATTGCCAAATTTCATCCCCTTAGCTCAAATTTTCATATGGGTTCTCTCAATTAGAGGACCCCATATAAAGAAAACTCCATTTCCACCGTTCCTACGCACAAAAGCCCCCAAAAAACAGAGTAAAATGAAGAACCCCTTTGGTTAAATGAAAAAAAAAGCCCCCAAAACGGATGAACGCTATCATTAAACAAAACAAACCCTTGTTTTGTGGTGTTATTTTGGCTCCGAAAACTTGTTTTCCGCCAATTTTAGCGGCTAATTTGATTAACTTATGAGAAATAAATATAATATTGAATTATAATTACCAATTTCTTGGACGGCAGAGACAAAAAGACCAGCTCTGGCTGGCCGATGGACCCGAATTGAAAAACGAAAACCTCTCTCTCTATCTCTCTCGTCCTTTTTTTCTCTTTTTCTTTGTCAGTGTCTGAGAGATGACAAGGAGTACTGCTACTCTTGTCTCCTCGCATCGATCCATCTCTGCGCTCACTTTGATAAATTCATGGAACCCAGAATGGACCATTCATCTCATTTTTCATTTATTTTTTAAAACATTTCTATATAAAAAAAAAAAAAAAAAGTATTCTAAGTACTCAGTACTGATTCTTTTTGGTATACGGATTATAAATTTATTCTTTTAGTTCTTTTATGGTGTTTCCTTCTTTTTTATATATATAAAATTAAATTATACACATTTTAAAAAGTTCAAAATTTAAAATTATTTCACAAAATACTCTCATGATGAAGAAAATCTTGGATTTAATTGATAATTAAGTTTCAATAATATAGAAATTTTTTGATAATTTCCCGTCGGAAATCTTTCGTAATATCGGTTATTTATTTAATAATATAATATTTTCTCGTATAATTGATTGAGAGCTAAGAGGAGGATATTTGAGAATAAAATATATTGAAAATTAGATAATTGTGTGTTTGTGTTGCATGGTAAGTGTTATTTAGAAACTTTCAAACTATTTTATTAATTGTTAATTGTTTTATTTTTATTAAGTTAAATTATTTAAAATCAATTTAAGTAATTTAATTTTTATTCATATTCCTTATTTTGTAATTTACCTTAATAACTCTCCTCAAATAAATAATTCTAATAAAATTATATAAACGTTTAATTGTGAATATTTGGTGATTAAATGAAATAATTAAAAGTAGTAAAAATTATTACCATACAAGATTTAATTATTTTTTATTAATTACAATTTTAATTTCAATCAATTAATTAGACTTGAAAATTATGATAGGTTAATGAATTAGCTTATCAAAATTAATTTCAATAAATAATGTTTTATAAGCTGATTAGTTAATAAATTGTACTCGTTAGTTAATTAATTTTTTTTTTTTTTTTTTTTTTTTTTTTTTTTTTTTTTTTGTTAGGTAAAGGTCAACCTAACCAACTTAAAAATAGGGTTACAATTCAACCCAACCTTATCCACTTTTAAGATTATTATGAAAACTAAGAATATTTTACACTTGCTTGTAACCGACGAGGTTGGTGATGGGTTGCCAATTTGTGACTTTTTTATATATGAGTTTTATAAGATTTTATTTATTATTGTTAATCTAACATAGATAACTATTATTATGAAAATTAAGAATGTTTTTAATTTGTAATCGATGTTGGTGATACACTGTGACTTTTTTTTTTATATAAGTTTTATAAGATTTTATTTGTTATTGTTAATGTATCGCAGATAAGTTTTTTTTTTTAATAATTAAACAAAACAACCGATAACTCAAGTCTAATTAATGTAACATTTATGGTAAATAAGATTTTTTTAAATAATTAAACAAATGTAACATTTATTGTAGATAAGGTTTTTTAAAAATAATTAAACAAAACAATCTGACAACTCAAGCCTTGTTAATGTAACATTTATTGTAGATAAGGTTTTTTTTTAAATAATTATCTTATTTAAACGTCTCTTTCAAATCTCTTGCTTGTATATATAACGTCTCTTTCAAAAATCTCTATCTACCCTCATTTTCTAAAACTTGTTCTTAAACCGAGGCTAGAGGCTAGAGGCTCAAGCATACGTCGCTTGGCCGTAGGTGACGTAAAAATGAATTGGCTTAGCTCACTTGTTGTTGGAAAGTGAGTGTCACACAATCCGTGTCTTGGTTCAACTCAAGCCAAAAATAGAGAGTATTGAGTTTAGTTGGAGTGTGATCTCTATTTAACAGAAAGTTAGACTAGTCCAAAAAATTTTCTCAACTCAACCTCATATAAACTCTATTTAATACCAAACGACAATCTCACCTCCAAGTGGATGTCAAGCTAGTACTTTCAAAGTGAGCAAATGTCATGTATTAGAATCGCACGACAATGTACACTTGATTTAGATGAATAAAAAAAAAAAAAGCTAAAAATTTATATTGATTAAAGAATATAGAGTAGGTAGAACGTCTTCAAAGCATACATGGAGATATACATTGGTATCAAATTTATATATATCTGTTCGAGTTATCTACCATATATATCTCTATCCACTTTTTACTATATGATTTTACAAGATTCCATAACCAACAATATCCAACTAAGAAGCATCATCTAGAGCTGGCAAAGCTAGGTGGAGATAATCTCATTGGCTCATCTGGTCAAAGCAAGTGTCTTGGTTCAACTTGCTGACGTGGCAGGCCATGATGTCCACGTAGATTATTACTTACTATTTTCAAAATATCACTCAATACAAGAATCAATATATTCCTCAAGAAACATCAGTAGCTGAGCAATAATTTGAAGTGTAAAAGAACATCATATCATCAATTTATTATATCCACATCAATACAATGCCCAAACTTGTACCAAAACTTGACAAACTAAGCATAGAAAGAGCAAAACAATGAGACAAAGTCTGGTGTGTAATAGAATTCATTAAGAACTTTGTCAACAAAATTAGCAGTAAATACATAAAAGAAAATCTTGGGTGGCAATTCTACATGGTCTTACAGACAAAGCTTCCTTCTGTGAATGTATATATTCAACAGCCTATCTCCGCCCGCCACGATATCAATTGGGGAGGAGCATGACCAAAGTCACAAAACTATAAACAGAAAAGCTTCAAAAAAACAAAAAATGTAAGAGAAAAAGAATGTTATTGGGAAAAGGGTAAGGATTAACATTAGACCTCAGGCTTTAAACATGTCGAGTTAATCACAAAGAAAGAGTATCTCAAGCTTCTATATCAAGTATATATGGTAACTGTTGGCAAATTGTGGATGGTTGGCCTTCGTCTAGCACGTGGTTCAGAATAGTGTATCAAGTAATTTCGGGGAAGACAAAGTTGCAACGCCTTTGAACTGTTATTGAGACGACAGTTCGTGAGAAAACACAGCAAATCCAAGTTAACAAACATATTATGGCTTCTCATGGACTTATTATAGTGTGTACTCATTTACCTTTTCTTGTCGATATTTGACGCGAATCGAGCTAAGGGGACAACCATTGGCGTTCAACTGTAAATCTTGTAAAGCAAGAACAGTTTTTTTCAGATCTGATGCTTTATATGAAGTATAGTATTCCAGTGTTGAATTCTGTCAGAAAAAGAATGAATTTAACAAGTCTGGCCAGGATTTTAGAGCTACATGAATGAAAAGAATAAGTGACGGGAAAATGCATACCCATGGGTGACTCGACTGATCCAACGTCCATTTCGAAAGAAATACAGCTGATGCAGCTATAACTGAGGGAAGAAAGTTCAAGAAACCGTAGTCAACCAGTGTTAATTCGGCGAGATAGTTGGCGAGGCACTCGAGTTCAAGACTAGGGGTCTGCATACCAATGAAAGTCGAGAAATATAAGCTTTGTGTATAAGACAATAAGTAAGGGAGCTCCTAAAGTATCAGGCAGTACGACCATCTAATTGTTACCTTATATGTCGTTTGTGCGGCTCGAACGTATCTCCTGAAAATAAAAAAACATGCATGGATAAGAACACCGAGCCTTTATGCACACAAAGTTATAAATGCACTGCCTTGTGCAGCTCATCACAAATAAAAAATACCTGAGGAAAGATTTTGCAGTTGGTGCAGAAAGTTGAAAGCCCATATGCTTCAATACTTGACCTTCCATATTCAATACCTCCTCTTTTGTGTAGGTGCTGTCAGTGATGAAACAAAAGTCTTCAACACGTGGGGCACAAATTTCTTCATACTTCCTGGAGGGCACAAGGACCACTGGTGTTACTTCCTTCATGTTCAAATCAGTATTAGCACAGCTCATCTTTGGATGAGCTTTTTCGAGTTCTCATAGTAAATAGTATTTGCAAGATACTTGTTATGAGGACATCAATTTTTTTCACTTAATATCATCAATAGTTACGGACTGCAGGGGTTTATCACTTGGCATAGAACACAATTTAGACTTTTGGATGAAGTACATAGACAACTATGCTCGAGATTTGAGAAACTTACGAGGCGATTAACATGCAAGAGATACCCAACAGTTGAAGCTTTTGTCTCTCGATGTAATTTTGGGAGAGATACCAATCAATGAAAAATACAGTTAGGTAGAGCGTATCTGGTACTAACTTGTATTCCTCCGATACCTAAAACAAAAAATTTGTGAATCAGCCATTTCACAATTGTGCATCTGTTTCGAGATGAATGCTTGTGCAACTTCATTCTTTCATGGTATAAGTTCGATAAAATTTAAGAAATTTGGAAGAACTATGAGATATCCCACAGCTCCAAGAAATCAAGTATTAGTATGATTTCATTAAGTAAATAAGGCTTAAGGAAGCAACACTAACCTCAACAAGCCAATCAACCAATATACCCCGCATGCTTTGGGTAATATCAGTCTGCACTGTTTCCATGAAATTGGGACGCGGTCTTCTGGTTAGCTGTAGAGAGGAAAATTCAATCAGTTAAGATAATATAATCTTTAACGTTAAATTTTAAAAGTGGAACCAAGTTTAATCAATTTATCATGGAATTGAAAGAGTATATAGCCTAACACCAATACTATATTCCAAGAACATTCAGGTTTCTTAAATATATAGCAAAAGTTTTCAGATCCTAAAGGCGCAAAAGCAATGATTGCATCATCCTAGAACAAGGACTATGAGTTGATTGAAAACATATCAGAAGTCCGAACAAAAAAACACGTTTGTCATTTCAAACAAACTGCTTAAGTTACATCTAAGGTTGATTATGTGAGTTGAAGAAAGCAATTGGGGAATCTTAATGTTCCA